AAATGCAAATAGATTCGTCTGATATAATTCAAAGTGATGCTGAAGACGAAATAGTAAATCTACTTGAAGTTCTAAGTAATTGTAAAACCCGTTGGAATTCGACCTATTTAGCATGGAAAAGAATTTTAACATTGCATCCAGCAATGTTATCACTTGCAACCTCATTAAGAAATAAGTCAGATGCTGCTTCAAAACGGGAAGGTGAAAAACTTCTAAAATTGTGTCTTACTACAGAAGAACAAGAGTATATATCAGTATTTATACTTAATCAAATACTTAGTGTAACAACCGAATTTATATATATATGTGATATATAACATGTATTTCAATTGGTTAACACGAAAAATTATATACACTTATATATTTTTTATTTATTTTTTTAAAAAAAAGGCTACAGAACAAATAGTTAATCTCTTAAAGCCATTTGAAGAGATTACAAGACACATTTGTGAATCAAAGTATCCCACTTTGAATCTTGTATACCCCTATATTCGAACTTTAAAAAATAAATTCATGCCGAAAAGTGAAAATAGTGAATCATATGAAGCTTGGATTACCCTAATTTATGGCTCAGAAGATTCGGATACCAGCAATAATTCAAGTATTAGTAGTGACAACGAAGCTGATATACCATCAGCAGGAAATCGTCAACAATGGCAGTATGTACATCGAAGTGTGTATTATAATAAAAGTTGTGCAAGTTATAAAAAAAGTAAAAATAAAAAAAAAAGTAAAAAAAAAATAACACTTACAGAATTAGAAGATTCTAATTCTGTAGAATACTTATCACCTGTAAATTGTTCTGGGCTCTTAGAAAGAGCCCGAGCTGCTATTTTTTGTCTATTGATGAATTATAGAATTCATCTAATATAATAGGTTTAAAGGCTTCTATTTTAGACCCCCGAGCATTAAAATTACTTCTATTTGCTACAACTCAAGAGCGGAAAGAAACTGAAGCCCAAGTTCATGCTGAATTATTGTCATTTGAAAATCAAATGAATATTTCAAGTAGTGCTGAAATAGAAAGAAGTATAGTACCTATTAGTGAAGATCCTCAAGATTCTCTAAGTGCCGAATTATGGGGATCATTGTTAATACCTGATAATGTTACTGATAAAGATGAATTCACCCGATACATGAAAGAACCAGTAGCTAATAAAAATCATAATCCTTTAATATGGTGGGAAGATAGATGTAAAAGCTTTCCATTCCTTAGTCAACTTGCTCGTAAATACCTGTCTATACCTGCTACATCAGTTCCATCAGAATGTCTATTTTCTGATGCGAACACTCACATTTCTGCTAGAAGAACTCGTCTTGATCCTAATTTGGTAGATAAAATGTTGTTTTTAAAAAGAAATGCACATCACCACACCATGTTTCCACCTGATAATAAATAATTTCATCACTTATCTGTTTTCTTTTTTAACCCGAAGACTTGTCTTTAATTCACAAATGCATAAAATTTATTTAGTCATATTTTTCTTATTATTATTATTATATATACGATCTAACATTAATAAAAAGATACTATTCAAATTAACAATTCTAAGAACAGATAAAGAAAGATCAGACATTAATAAATTATGAAGCATACAAGTTCATTTCTAATTTAAAGCAAAATATATAAATAAATCTTAAAAAATTAATATACTATATAACAAATGTACTACATTGTTGCATCTGGATGTTAAATTATTACTTCTAGGCCTTATTACCTCAAGATAAAGATTTTAACGTTTACTTGTATGAATCTTGCTAAAGACAACCTATAACTAGCAAAAGACTTGAGTGTTTAGGAATTTCCCTTTACATTGGGCAGAAGAAGTTGGATTGTATGTGCGTATGTACTGTACGTACGTTTTTGTCTCTTGAAGAAGTAAATGTTAATCAACCAATCAGACTACTGTTACGTTTATAGATCCGGATCTTATTATTAAGATCCGGATCTTATTATAAAGATCCGGATCTTATTATTATGAAGATCCGGATCTTATTATTAGGATCCGGATCCTATTATTAAGATCCGGATCTTATTATGAAGATCCGGATCCTATTATTAAGATCCGGATCTTATGATTAGGATCCGGATCCTATTATTAAGAT